TGAATTCTTATTTGAAGTTTTTCTGGTGTCCTTAAGGGGATCAGAATGTCATCCGCACACTGCAGGTGACCTGCGTTTTTGTTTAGCCCCCTACTTTCCCAACGAAGTCTTCTGAAAGCTTCTTCTAGAGCTGCTGTAAAATAACTTCCCCGACACTGCGTCTCTTTTAAACGCCATTTTCGATTTTGCACTTGCTTGTGCTTTCGCGAAGCTTTACACTAATAGTTGTATTCTTTTGAATCACGGCGATCAGAATTATATATCTTTTTTTCGATTTCCTGACTCCACAAGGAATCCAGTGTAGAATGGATGTAGGCTGGGTCGAAATCGATGAATCCCAAGCGGAGAGGAAGGTGATATTCGCTGCATGTATGAATTACTTGTTGCTCCACTTGCAGATCATCCGCCACACTAGATTCACTGCTGAATTCTGCTTGTTTCCTTGATCAGAGTCCAGTTTTTCTTAAAATCTCTTCGATACCTTCGCAAAGTTATTGTAAATGATTGCCAACGAAGTGATCGAACTGTAGATTTTAAAATGCTCTCTGAAAATAAGTGCGCTAATAACTTGGTCAGTGTTTCCTCTAAACAATTACACAAGTTCCAGTGTAATTCCGTCTTCGTCACAATCCTTTCTTCGCTTTGGTTGCTTTATTGCATGTCGCACTTTTCTGGTAAGTTGTCTGAAATTTCGTCAGATTGTATCTTCAGGTTGTTTATCCTTACATGACGTGTTGCTGTTTTCGTTTGTACAGTCTTCAGCGAAAATCATTCATTCTCTCTAGAATCCCTTGTCCTGATGACAGTCCCGTCTTCTGCTGTGAGAGCTGAAATTTGTTGTTTCCCAGTCATCATACTTCGATTTTAGTCTCTTCCTGGTTCGGTTGCAATAGTTTCCTTTACTAGTTTGCAGTTGAATGGTTGGACGCCTTCGCAGCTTATGAGGCAATATACATGATGAACAGTTATTTACTTGTCACTTAACTGCATATGTTTCAATTCCAGTTAATACTCTTGAACTGCACATTAGCTATGCTATGAGCTGAACCTCTTCAAGGCGGTCTATTGTTCATTGCTTTCTCTGTGGAGGCCGTTTTCGCACCTTAATTTACGCACCTTTTCCAGGTTCAGGCGCAGTATCAGTAGTGTCACGGTACCACCTGTGCTGAGCATAAAACATATCTCCTCGAAGACTAACGGCATATACCCCGTTGAGCGGATTAATCTAAAGAGACTGGCAGGCTTAAGGAATCATTCGTAATAGATGGCATGATTCTCTAAATCATTCCTTAAAACCTGTTTAATGTTTCTGGTCATTTCAAGGTCTATGCATGCCTTGCTTGATGTAAAAATCTGAGGCAAGAATGTTTTTTCCTTTTTGCGGTGTGAAATGACTCATTTATTAGTATTTTCCATTTTTTGCAATGTCAGTCGATAACCTTGGTATTACTGCTGCTAAAGTTGATAATTTCGCAATGTGTGAACAACAGCCCGAACGATGAGCGTATAGTTCTTAATGTCTCGCGCGGTCTACAAACCGTGCCAATGTAGTTTGATAAACCACCTTAATCATGTGTTGGAGCTACGATAAAAGTTATATAATAGGCTTCGTAAGGATTTGCCCACGCAGATGAACATATTAAGTCCAGTTTTTAACCGTCGAATTTCTAAAAATATGCCTGGCATGTCACGTGTTGAAACTGAGTGATTACTATAAGCCAAAGGATTCGACCGCGGCGTTAAGTCTTTGGCGAATCCGCGTTTAAGATATTTTAAAATATGATAATATGATTTAACCAGTGACCAGTCGACCATCCGTGCATTGACTTAAAAGACCGTGATGCAAGCATTTCATGATAA